GTAATCTGTGGAACCTTCACATACTCCATAATTTTTTTGCGCTGTTCACAACTCCCTTTTTTGCGACTTTTGACTTAAAAATATCAAGCTAAGACCTCATAGTGCTTTTAACAGTTGAACCAAAAAAAACTTCAGATTTACGCTGAGTATTTCTCCTTTTAAAGCATACAAGATAACTTGAACACCACGTACAAAATTTATATGCAGTACGAAGGGTCACCTCACGCAGTTGCGTCGTAGCAGATGGCTTACACCCAATCTAGTATTTGCCATCCACCGAAAAGGGTTGAAGCTGATATGCCGCTAGTTTTCTGTTTCATTATGATCTTTTGTATACATATTGCAGTTCAGAATGGCAGCGGCTGCTGTGGCTGCTCCTGCGAGAAGTAGTCGATACACTATGTCTGAGAAAAATCTTGGACTTATGATGGAAATAATTCGTAAAGATCCGGAATCCTATAAAGAGGTGCTTTCTTTTAGTCGAGGTACTCTCATTATCTGGTAATCCCTATCGAATTATAGGAGTTTCTCGAACAGTTTGATCACTACGTTCACACCATGAAACTTCTTCATTTGCAACCGCAACAGCATAGAATGGAGCTGCAGCCTCTCTTGGAGTCCATAACCTTTCTTTCCGGTCTTGCTAAGCACTATCCAGGTATGTGCTTTATTATCTGCTTCAACGTTCAGCGCTTAACGCGCAGTTATTTAGAACAAGCGAAGGAGTTTTGCTCGCATATGAATAATGTACTTCGGGAGCAAGGTAGTGGTCTTGATCACCATGTAAGAAATGCTGCATTTTTCCTTTTTTTTCAGCACAGAAGGTTGGAATGATGTTTCAGGTGAGAATGTCCTTTTGTAAAGCGCTGGTGCTTCTTAGGAACCAAAACCTGGTAGATCCTATGGAATTTCTGGACATCTTCTTTGAACTAGTCAAAATCGAAGATAAACAATTAAGGTAAGCATTTCAGGTTTACTGTTTGAACATTGATTTAATAATACTTTCAGAAAATTTGTTCTTGCATCAATTTCGTCCTTATTGAGGAGATTTTACACTCAAAAAAAGAATGTGAAGCTGCTTGGAAAAATTCAAAACTTTTGCTTTGCAAAGATGAAGGTATGCCAATATTTTTTGTTGGTTTCGCTCTAATTAAATTTCTTGATTTCAATTACATCTATCCAAGTCACTTTTTTTTCACATCAGGATTCTCGCGCAATAGTGGCTCGAGCTGCTCAGCTAATCTGCATTGATGCATT